CAACCGAAGATAACAAGTACAGAGAAGGAAAAAAAGAAAGAAAAAAAAAATGAAATCCCTCCCCCTCGTCACCACCCTCCTCCTAACCCTAACCACAACGCCAACAACGCAAGCATGGAGCTTCACCTGGCGCAACGCGTCCAACACGCCGTTCATGGAGCGCAGCATGTCGGCGGCGCCCTGCACGCAGATCGACCAGGCGGAAGGCAAGGAATTCGTGTTCGAGCCCAATGACAGCCCCTACTCGTTCTACATCTGGTCCAACGACAACTGCTCGGGTTCCTACAGCGGGTTCACGCCGCCGTCGCGGTGGGGCAAGAAGGCCTCGACGGATCTGCGCTCGTTTATGGTGAACTATGGCGGGAATGATGGGCCGGCGACGACCGCTGTTTCTTCTTCTTCTTCGACCACCTCTTCTACTACTACTAGTAGTTCTACTTCGACGGGGACTGCCACGGGGGGTAGTGCCACCACCACTACTGCGGCTACTGCCTCGGCGAGTGCGACTTCGTCACCCGGGAACTCGTCCGGCTCGTCGTCGGGGATATCCGGGGGAGCGGTCGCGGGGATCGTGATCGGCGTGGTGGCCGGGATAGCGGTCGTGGGGGGAGCATTCTGGCTTGGACGCCGACGTCGCGGTGGATCTGGAGGGAGCCCCGGGCAAGGATTCGGGTCTGCGTCGGGGCCCGGGGCGGGATATGTGCAGCCGGGGACGCCGATCGGGGGATCCGATGCGATGCCGTATGGCGGGGGTTATATGGGGGCGGAGGTGAAGGCGCCTCTACAGTCCATGTATGAGAATCATCCGATGAGTCCTCTTCCTGTGTATCAGCCGCCCGTGGGGCAGCAGTATGCGGAGTTGCCGGGGGAGAGTGCACGGGTGGAGATGAGTGATACGTCGAGGGTGAATGAGTTGGACGGCAGTGCGAAGCGGTGATTGTGTTCTGGGGGGTTTTTGTTTGTATTATACTTCTGTACTTGTGTTGGTTTGGCATTTTGGTTGAATACCCCGGTGGCTTGCATTGTTCGTATACTCTTCGTAATCTATGTGCATATTCTTTCATACTGGCGGTTGTGGGTTTGTAACTGCGAGGGGAGAAGATGAGGTTTTAAGCTGCCTATTCGAACAAGGTTTAGAATAGATCGATGGACTTCCTATTCATCGGCTATCAAAAGATCTCATGAAAACCACTAGGTATTCCCCACGTGTACGGAGAGAATCAGAAAACTGAAAGACTTCCTATAATGCATTATCATCCATGGAGCCTGTCCGATAGTAGAAAAGAAAATGATATGTCGAGAAGGTAAAAGATCGTGAGCGAGACCAGGCTCCCCTATCACAACAATATGATACAAGCATCTCCCGATACATGGGGCCCCTTATCGTAACTCTGTACATGGGACCACCATGTGCTTCGCTGAGTATCTGTGACTCCAGATCACGGTAAACATTGTGATGCCACGCTGTTTTATGTGCAATGCTGTCAAAGAGGTTGAAAGAAAAAGGTGGCAAAGAGAAAGAAACTAAGAGGGCGGAAGGCCCAAAGGAGCCTATCACTGATGAACGCCAAAACTCCCGGGCCAGCTGTGCTGTAGACCTGCAGAACGATAGTACTGACCACGTAAATGAATGCCAAACTCGAACAAGTAATAGGACGCTAGTGATGATGTTCAGGGTATAGGGTATCGTGAGGCTTCTCGGGGTATCGACATGGGTGGCATGCGACCTCCGACCCCACCGGCAGCACCACCTCGACGCATACCCGCTCGCAAATCAAAGTCGGGGTTGTTCTCCAACAAGACATTTTGCCTCTGTTGGGCCGGAAGTGGAGGCGGCTGCCAACGCGGGTTGATAGGCCGCTCGGAGATTGACGTAAAATGGCTTATATCGCTAGTAGTGGGTGAGCTGGGTCCTTCTGCCAAATCTTCTGTCAGTTTCGGCTCACCAGAACTACCCGGTGTCAACACCGAGGGCAACCGCGGGTTGCCCACGGCATGCTCATTACGATTAGCAAAACGAGGATCGGCATCTTCGAAGTAATCCGCTGACTCAGAACGATCATGATGCGGGGTGCGAGTACGCTCCGTCGGCCGGTAGGCATGGACGGGCGAGGGTGAATGTCCGGGGCGACGCTCAGCCTGCTCCCAGGCAGCGCGAGGAGGAATATATGATCTGTTCGCGGTTAGCTATGTACACGAGATAGTACGAATCAAGAGCTCGTTTTTGTCTTACGCTGTCCGGCTATAAAGGCTCGAAGGGCTGACAGGTTCGGGCTGGCCATCTGCCGACAGGGCGTGTGGTTGCTGGTCTAGCAAAATCTCCTGATGCACTGGCTCCGCCGAGCCTGTTCGCCTGGGCTGCGGTGTCATCTCGATCGCCTGGCCTACCGGGCTGCCATCCGATGGCGACATAGCCATTCCAATTGGTCCAGGAGACGGCTGGCGCATGGAGCTGGGCGGAACATCGTAGTCGTATCTTTCCTCCTCTGGAGGCGGCATCGGTCGCGGCTGAGGATTGGGCCCATAAGCAAACGGTGGCGGTCCTCGATATGCCCCCCGTCCTCCTCGCATCGTGCCCATGGGACTGCCTCTACCACCGGGGGGAGGGGCTCTGGGTCCACCATAAGGACCCCCGCGGCCGTAGCCTCCACGAACTGGATAACCACCCCGTCCACGTGGGGCAAAACCCGGTGGGGGTGGTCCCCTCCGCGAGCCCATACTACCATCGGAGTATTGATTGTGCAGCCGGGGATCACCCGGACCAGGTCGCATGCGAGCGCCGGACCCGTAGGGACCAGACTGTGGAAGCGGGTTTCCGAATTCGTCTCGGGAGGGATTGTATGGCGGCCCGTTCTCACGCATTTGAGTGGGATACGGATGGTCTGGTAATGGAAAATCGTTGGGCGGTGTTCGCGAGTTCAGTGGTGTGCGGTCATCATCACTCTCGTGGGTTGTCGTCCGGAATGTCGCAAACGTGGGACCGGTGTCAGATCCAGGAGGTGATCCAGTCACGAAAGGCTCCTTAGTCTCCGTATTGAGCGGCTTCGGATCGTTTAGTCCCATGGCTGCTGCGGCGGCATTCTGGCGATTGTAGAAGTTTTCGCCACTCATCTCGGCGTTTTCAGCGATGCGCTTCTTCCGCGCCTTGCGACTTACGAGGGTTCGGCGCATGGCGCAAGTAACCACACCACAGCTGACGAGGAGGATCGTCGCGCCGAGTACAATCCAGCCACCCCATCCTAAATGAGGAACGAAGAGCAGGATATCGACGAGAAAGGCAAGTAGGGAGACGAGAAGCGTCGGAAGTAGCAGGATCAACAAGACGAGTAGGTAGCGGGGCGAATGCGACGGACCATGGAAGTGGGCTGCGGCAGCCATACAAAGGCAGATTAGGGTAAGGAATGCGGCGACCGGATGAACAATTAGAATAGACGAAAGCGATCTTCGAGTGCTAGAAGGGAGATTGAAGTCATCGCCGGTGTCCGAGAGGTCATCTGTCCATAGTTTAGCACTGATAGGTTAAGTAAGTCGTGTCGGCGGACCACGCACCATTAGTGTAGCCGAGATGGATATTGGTGCAGTGACCAGCTTTACAGTAGCCGAAAACCCCATAGTCGACATTCTCGAACGTCGCCAGCGGGATTCCTTCGACAATAGGGGTGGAGATAACGGATAACAGCAAGAGAACAAAAGCGATCAGGAGCAGGATCGTGAGGGGAGTCGCGGGTTTGAGAAGCATGGCGGAGGGGCGGAGTTGCCTAGCGATAGACAACCCGTCTTAAAAAATGAATGACGAAGAGGTTGAATCAAGTAACAATAACTATCGCAACCACGAGGCAGGTGACAGCGACACACGCAGTCAACGATAAAGATGAGAGTTCACAGCATTGGCCGAAACATTGCCGTTGGTTCTCCTGGAATTGTTGGGTGGGAGGGAGAGAACTTGGAAGGTGAGCGCTTGAGCCCCGTGAGAGGTTTCGTCCAGTACTAGTAGTACGATTGTATGTTTGATAAGCTGGAGGGGAAACGGCCAGACTAAAAAGCTAGTAAATGTATGTATCAACGTCAGAAATCACAGATGAAAGATAACTGGTGCGGACAATCTATTTAGGCTCAAAAAGAAAAGAAAAGGTAAAAAGAAAGAATGCGACGATAAAGGGCAGAGGGAAATTGGACCGGAGGTTAATGGTCGAGAGGGAAAGGATAGGGAACGAATGAATGAATGGAGTGGAGAGAGAGAAGGAGAGAATTAATTGATCCAGACAAAGCGGGTTGGAAAGGCGACCCCATTCTTGCCTCAGGTGTCCAACCCACATGACGACATTGCCACGATAACTCCTGTTACTGTGTATACAGTGCAAGTACTCTTCTTCCTCTCTTCAATTGTCAAACTCCCTTACCTTCAACGATATCGCACTTCTACTACTTTGCTCACCCTTCTATCTGTAGGGGGATACCTTTCTCACATAGTTTCTCAAAAGTTTCTCATCCTTCACACCAACCCTACTCGAGTCAGACTCTTCGTGGTGGCTGTGTCTCCGTCCGCTTAGCTTCCCGTCAATGCAACGGCTCCCACCCTTCTGATTCGCCCGACCGGGAATCACACTCAGTTGGATCCTTACACGAGGGACCGTGCTAGTGACTCTATAAGCCTACATCCTACCCAAGTAGTTATCAGCTTTTCACACGGATGGTGGGTTTTAGATCCTACAGAATTCCTTCCACTGGTCATGGCCTATGGCATATACATATACATACACATCTACTACTCACCTTTTGAGACGGCAGAGTCTCAACTTGTTTGATTGTGTCTGGTCTGATTGAAGTTTTGCCCGAATGAAACAAACAAGTGTTGCAAGATACGCGCTAAGGCTATCGGTCCCCGCAGAGGCGTTTTACGCATCGTTCCAAAGCCATCTCTTTGAGTTTATCGCTACTGTGATCAGGATTCAGGGGTGGACCACCAAATTTAGCGCATCCAAGGTCGGATATTTTATTAAAGGACACTTTTCCTACCCACTTCACTGAACCTATCGTTGACCGTCCAAGGTTATTTGGGCAAGATCTGGCTTTCAAGCCGAGTGGACCACACGGGATGAAAGTGCCCAGTACAGGTTCATTATTCAACTCTGCGTGTACCCTCATACACAGTCACTAGCGAGCTTTATAAGATACGTACCACAGTGGAGGCGGCCTCGATGCCGCCTCCACTTTTTACAATGAGTCCAGCCCGCCTAGTCGAAAGTACTTCAGGTCGGTCATCAGATCATTGCGATGTTTTAGATAGGGGTGGTTCCTAATCAGCATTGCCTTTACAAGCTCTTAGCATACCACAGCTTTCGTGGCATTTTCCTTCGGAAATGAGGTTGAAAGAAAAAGGGGAGGGGATAAAGAAGTGCAATCCTCGCTAACAATGCTACGGTTTCGCTTAATTCGAAGCCGAACCACTATCAGTCTATAGCACTCTGATGTGTATTATTTCTAGTGGGCAAGGGTCAACCAGTTGTTGCCCCGGCCCTTGGGACCCTTGAATGCAACATTAATCTCGTGAGGTTTTTACTACGCCATATATTGCCTCGTCGGAAGCTTGCTCAGTAGTTACTTAATTGTTTGACATATAGACATTGGCGATCTTCTTGCTACCATAATTGGCTGCCCATCTCTATGCAGGGGTGAATGGGAGGGATTCCTCGCCTGATAACCTTATTACATCTTCGAACAACGAATGTCGATATATCTCGAGGTACCTTACTTGATCTTCGTGCTCAGGCCACATTACTCGAGTCCGAAGGTATCGGGGTGATTCCACGCGTGGATTGAGTTCCGCGAGAGTTTGATAGACATCGCCGAGCAGTACCAATAGAACCTAATCCTGATCTAAACAATAAATCGCAAGCATGCTCGATGACTGCTTCGAAGCGCCAACAATATGCCCGGAAGCCGGCAAGGTTCTAGATCACAGAACTTTCCTCAGCACTGGAATCGCACGCAGAGAAGAATTTCAGCTTCTTTCTTTCTTTTTTTTTATCCATTATATTATTTATCATATTAATTATTTTGTTTGATCCTTGCCTTCGTCAGGGGTTTAGCCACTTTGACCATATCGGGGATTGTCAAGACAGGGATGAAGTTTGTTCTGTTGTCTTGGCCTTCAGTAGAACCGCTGGAGCCGCCACGGTCTTGCTTGTTATAACAAGAAATAAAAATGAAACAAGACACCGTGTCAACAAGCAGGGCATTGTGAACTGAAGAAACCGAAGGATAAAAGAAAAGAGAGGAACAAAACCAAGTATGGCGCACGTGGAGCCTCTTCGTCATCCGGCTTTGCAGCCGAGGTCTCCCTTGTTTACATGTCCCCATCTTCTGGTATGTTTGGCGGCGGCAAGGAATCACGATGGCAAACCCTTGTCTTGAGTATGAATCTCGCATCCACAGGCTATACTATGGATGAAATATCTCCCCGGCTTGATTCATCGTTATTCTATCAATTGTAGAGTTCGACGGGACTGGGAGGTTGAGTGTTGCTGCGCCTACCCCGATTGTCCATATGTGAAACTGACATGTACAAAGCGACAGAAGGCGAACAAACTGACTCGAGTCTTCCGGAATATGTTGGAGTTCGTTAGAGTTGAGTCAATAATTCGGCACAAGGCACCGACTTACGAATCGGGACCCAGTCCCTGCAGGTCGAAGAATTCCATGCATGACGTGCGTCGCGATGGTGATAAGATGTCTCACTGTCACGTTGATCGCCGAACTCAAGTATGTGAAAAATAGAATACATAAATACTCAAAAGCAGTTGAAGCTCTGGATTGCCCTTCATGAGTCTCTTCCTGCTTCTCGTGAGACTCTTAATGCGCCGTCGGGGCCATCTTTCTCTTCGAAATCCCTAGTTTGGCCCAGTTCGACTGGCCTCTGTGTTCACACGAGGATATACACGGCCAGGAATTGCATTTGTTGACTTGGGTGGATGGTCTATTCTTCTCGCCCTTTTTTCTTTTCCTCTTTTCTTGGCTATTTTTTATATAGCTTTTTTTTCGTGTTTTGTGAAGCAGAGTTGCATAATGGTGTTTTCCTCTTCTGTAATTCGACTATTTTCCTTATGGCTTCTCATTACACACGTCTGGGCAGGCGGGATTGAGGACTTAGTCCACCAATTGATGAAACCGGTGGAACAGGCTATATCTTTCTTCCCACCGCTAGACTGGGTCCCTCATCCAAAGTGAGTTCAGTGTGTCCCCTGCTGTGCTCTCTCATGTTTTTAACGATTCATTACGATAGGGGAATACCATTTCCTACGAAAAACGACACTGCGGAACCCTGGAGACATCTTAACACTGCTCCCGTGACCCATGCGCCAAATGCCAATGCTGCTAGTTGCTCAGCTACCAATGGTTCATCTGGGTATTGGTATGAGAAGACCGAACATAAGGACCAATCATCGTTTTTGAGCTCGGAGTATAAAGACAGCTACAAGGTTTTTCGGAATGTTGTGAGTGATTATAACGCCGACAACACAGGAAAACAAGATGCGGCACCTGCCATACAGAGGGCCATTGAAGGTATGCACCACGTACAAGGATTGTATTTTGGACGAGGACAATTGCTGAGGGTGAAGTGGACTGGCAGCGGGGGCATCAAACGGGCCTTCTCGGAATTCCAAATCTATGGGCACGACAGGACAACCCGCCGTAGTCTATCTTCCGGGAGGTACATACCTTTTGCAAACCTCTCTCCAACTCTACACAGGAACGGTGTTGGTCGGTGACCCGACGAACCCGCCCGTTTTGAAAGCCGCTTCTGGGTATTCTCTGGACCACATCGTTTACGCCAAGGATCCTAACCACGAGGGGACGAACAACTTCTACATTGGCATTAAGAATATTGTCCTGGACTCCACCGGGGTCGATTCAGCCAAGTCCCTGAGCCTCCTTGACTGGACGGTTAGCCAGGCAACGCAACTCACCAACGTCGCGTTCCATATGCCGACGGGCAGCCAACATACTGGATTGACGACGCAGTATGACTATAATAGTAACATCATTGTGGTAAGACCCACTTGCAAACTGACTATCAGCATGTGGTCCTGACAGCACGCAGAATGACCTATCATTCAGTGGTGGTGGTATCGGCATGAAGCTGAGCGGCCAGCAATGGGTTTTCAAAAATCTCACCTTCACTGGGACAACTATCGGAGTAGTTGCAGGAGCCACCGATATCATCTTCTTGGGATGTCGTTTCGAACAGGGGGCCATAGGTATTAATGCGAGCGAGACATCGGGCTCCTTGACCGTGATCGACTCCAGCGTCTCGAGCGTAGACACCTTCATCACCTCGAATGACTCGGGTGGTGCAGGAAACGCAATTGTCTTGGAGAATGTCCAGAGTTCTGGAGTGACTGTTCGTCTGGGAGGCAACGCTGTGCTCACAGGAGGTGTAGCGGACACCTGGGTCCATGGAACTATGGTAAGCAACTCTTACCAATAGAAAGTATCAACTTCTAACTGGTCGCGGCAGTACAATTCCGGAAGCTCCAGCAAAGAGCGTGTTGAAGGGAAGATTGTCGTAACCAACCGGGCTTCGTCTCTTGTGTCGGGAAATAAGTATTACACGGTTTCGCCACCGACTTACCAGGACTACAAAGCAACCGAGGTTCTGAATATCAAGTCTGTATCCTCTAGCCCTGTCTATGGAGATGGTCAGACAGATGACACGGCAAACATCAACAAAATCCTGGCCGAGAATAGAGACTGCAAACTGATATATTTCCCTGCGGGTACCTATATCGTTACGGACACAATCTTCATCCCTGGCGGTACGCGAATCATCGGAGATGCCTTCGCTTCGACTATCAGCGCAGTTGGAAACAACTTCAAGGACGAAGGTTTTGTTCGCGTTATGATCCGTGTAGGATACCCAGGAGACATTGGAGTCGCGCAGATCAGTGACATGATCCTTACGGTGGGAGACATTTTGCCAGGCTGCCAATTAGTGAGTTCTCCACTATTTCAAAACCGATGCCCCATTTACTAACAGGACCTCAACCCTAAGGTGGAGGTGAACATTGCCGGAAAGAGCCAAGGGGATGTAGGGTTCTGGAATGTACATTTCCGCATCGGAGGTGGAGTAGGCAGCAGGGTGCATAGTGATTGTACCAGCTCGCCTGACAACTGTAAAGCCGCATATGGACTACTCCATCTCACGAGTACTTCATCTGCTTACATCGAAAACATGTGGGGATGGACAGCAGATCACGATCTCGATGGATCCAGTTCGCAGACCATATCCACAGGCAGAGGACTTTTGGTCGAAGCAACTGCTGCCACATGGCTTATCGGTACCGGTTTTGAACACCACACTCTCTATCAGTATAATTTCGAGCATGCACACAATGTTCTTGCCACCATGCAGCAGAGCGAAACCCCATACTGGCAAGGTGTAGGAAGCACGCTAGCACCAGCTCCATGGGGGAATCACCTGAGTGCAAGTGATCCGGATTTTTCATGGTGCGCTGGGGACGATGCGACCTGCCGTATGGCGTTATTCGAGCGGATCAATGGTGCATCAAACCTCTTCCTTTATGGAGGCTGCAACTGGGCCTTCTTTAACAACAATGGCGGCTGCAACGGCAAGTGTCAAAAGAACGCGGTCCAAATTATTGAATCATCTGCGCTGTACTTGTATGGCACGAACACCAAGAGCACGGAGAATATGATTCTGGAAGGCTCGACGACGATCGCAAAGGAAGATGATAACGCTGGTGGCTGGGGAGGAGTAATTGCGGCTTTCTTGTACAAAACGTGAGAAAGCCCGTGGGGAGGAAGATGACGGGGGAACGGCATATATATACGGGCTTTATCATTCTGGTCAATGATAACAGAACCGGTGTTTATATAGATAGATTGTCACATACGCACAGCGGCTGCGTGCACACTCGACATATCCTTGCATCTCAATAAGTCCTTGCATTTATACTAGTTTACACATTTCATATGGGCGCATGGTTTTCAAAAGTCATTTTTGAGTCCTAGAACAGACGAAAAGAACATTACTACATTAATTGACGTGTCAAAGGCCAACCAGGAATATGGTCACTCAAGTAATCGGCCTGTTGGGGCAAAGAAATCACATGTGGTGCCTGTGCCCTATGAGCATTGTCCACTGGTTCGGGCCGCAACCCAACCCCGTGCTACTGGTGATGGTACCTGAACTCCTTCCCGTGTTCCATGGCTCCTCTCACCCTGCCAACACACTCATGCAAGGTGTAATGATGCCTTGGCCAACCATATTGCTTTTCATCCCTTCCTGATAGGTTTTCCACACCAATAATATGAAGCCATGTTGAAGACAAATTCTAACTAGATCGATCGAGCTTCAAGCGACCGGTGGCTGGGACCCGAAGGTGGCTGGGGGTTTCCCGACCAACCAGCCCGACTCAACCCAACCACCTCATGGACAGCAACCATGTCTGTCGCTTGACAACCTCGGGCGACTTCGCCCTTGCGTCTTGACTGAAATTATCGACACTTGATATTTCTCTCAGAGGTTCAATACCTGCGTCTTGGGAATGCCCATCGCATATCATTCGCTGCAAGTAAGCCGTGCACATACATTCCTCCTTGTCTTGAGCCGCCATGCTTGCTTCGGGGTCCGGGAATGTCAGTCTGAGGACCGTCAGCTGTAAGTTCAATTTAGAATTCGCGTTACCCATCTCATGGCCAGTCCGACCGACCGACAGTTCTGGTGCTGATTCCTCGTAGCAAATAGGCCGCAAGTCCTGCGTTCCGAGGATCAACAATCGGTTGCCGCTTCGGACGACTACTATTCGTTTTCAGATCGCACTGCCAGTTCGAGGTCTCCGAGCAACGGCAGTCACGCTACCGTCGTGAGGTATGCCACACCGATGTCCCATCCTGTGTCTCACACTTCATCCCCCGCCATCTCGAGAACGCATCTAGGCCCACCCATGGTTGGATCAACCTCCCGCCTGGAACAGCCAGTGAGGATGCCAAACGATCACAAAAATGCGCCATCCCCCGCTACTAGTACTGTTCGCGCCGTGCAAGACAGAGAAGTTTACATGAGCCCAATGACGGAGAGCACCAGTCGCCAGGTCCCGAGTGACAGCTATGCGGGACCTCCTCCCACACCCGGCATGGATGATGTTCCATACATCCGATTTGCTATTAACCAACTTACGCGTGAAGAAGATTCTCATAGCTTGCGAAGACCGAGCTCAGTTGCAAGCGAGGATTATCCGGCGGAGCGTCTCATTTGGGACGAAGGATTGGGTTATTTTATCCGCTCACCTGAATCGAATAATACACCTCCCGCCCAGCAGCCGCTGTTGCAGCATTCCTCGCCAGAGCCGGTCGACAGGTCCCATCAGGATTCGGTGGAACCGGAAGCCTTTGTCGCAGTCGAGCCTCCAAAGGACAGTTTGCTCTATCCACGCCTGAACTACGTGCCGTGTATGTTACGGCCATGGGCTCTTATTGCGATCATCTTCTGCTCTTTGCTCATGATCGCCGGTATTGTCTTTTGTAATGTATGGTCTCGGAGACACCAGGGCTTCTGGGATTATGATGGCCAGGGAGGTGGGCGGTACTTTGTCGTTCAATTTCTCCCGCAAATTTTGGCCGTCCTTATCACAGTTTGGACTTTCGTTATCCAGGCTGCAGTGTATCGTACAATGCCATTTGCGATCATGGCCTCGGAAAGGAAGCTAGGTCAAGTGTTGCATCGCTTACCGATTCTATCGCGGAACTTTCTGGTTCCAGACTTTTCGCAATTTCGACATGGAGAACCGTTGGTTGGGTTCTCTTTGGTCTTAACATGGCTCTCAAATTTGATCACGCTGCCACTGCTCAGTTGCTTTTTCCAAGCAAAGTGGTTCGTCATCGATGGGCGAGGGACATGGCGTTGGACTGCTGTGCAGGATGTTGGCTGGACACTGGTAGTGATGTACGGACTGCTGACCGTTGGATTGGTTTTACTGATGTTTCGCTTTGTTCGCACTTGGTCGGGGCTAATGTGGGATCCGGTGAGCCTGGCTGATCTGGTCTCGATCATTCAGCGGTCCAATATCTTGCGGGATTTTGAGCAGTCCGAAATATTGCCCGATGTAGGCGAATCGCTCAACCCTAGAGTGCTTCGGCTGGGTTACTGGCAATTATCCAACCGGAGGGCGACGTTCTATGGTATCGGTGAGGTTGCAGCGCCGCTAGGAAACCCGTCTCTCCACCTCAGCGAAAAGAGCCGCGAGAAGCAACCATACGGTTTGTCCAGGGTTTCCTACGATATAGAGCAGCAGATCGGAGAGGGCAAGTATGGCTTCGATGAGCATATGTATTCGCCATCGGTTCGTTACCGGTGGACTCCATGGTTTCTTCGAGACACTTTTATTGTCGCATGGACAGTTACTATCGGTGCACTTTTTATTGCTTTCGTGCTGGTCAGTTTTATCCATGACGCTATTAAAGGAGGCTTCCCACCGCGGCTTCCCACACTCCCGTCGCCTAAGTCCTTTTCCTCGTCAAACTTCTTGTACAGCTTCATCCCAGCACTCATCGGGAACGTCCTTTTCCTCGCGTGGCAGCCTATTGATGTGTATTTCCGTGCCCTGCAACCATTTGTCTCGCTCTCTTCCCCGGAGGGTGCCCCGGCTGATCAAAGCTTGCTCTTGTCTTATCCGTCGTGCTTCCCCTTCCATGTGACAGTACTGGCTATCCTCAACAAACACTATAAGGTGGCCTGGATCTCCTTCATGAGCGTTGCCTCGGCTGCTATCCCTATCTTGGCCGGTGGTGTCTTTATCGCTCTCAACTACCCTTCGCAAAGCGAAATACGCATTGCGGCTCTTATGCCGGCATTCTACGCCATGGTTGCGTTTTGCGCAATATACACAGTGTCATTCTTGTGTATCTGGCCCGGTCGCCGCCGCTACCTGCCTCATGATATCACCACGCTCGCCGATCAGATAAGCTTCCTCTACCAGAGCCCTTTGCTCTCGGATAAAATCCTCCGTGAGCCTCGGAGCAAAGCCGATCTTGTTACGCGACTAGTCATGGCACCCCCTGGGGACAGGGACTATCCCATGTATGGCTTTGGAATCTATGTGGGGCGTGATGGCAAAGAACATCTTGGCATTGATCGCTTTCATCGGCCGGGTCGGGCAGACATGTTGATTACAACGGGGTCGATGAAATGAGAACCGCCGTGCTTGGGGCTTGTTTCCCTTGGCAAGTCTGTACGTTCCGGAGAGGTGTCCACTCTGTTCACAGATTGCGTGGTGCACTCGACTTGGCGTTCAGCAAAGAACTACGATTCGCGCAGCATTTAAATGGCGTATGGTTCAATGATTTATGATTGTATGATTTAATATGGGTTTTATGAATTTTCGGTTTACGTTTGACATGATGGAGGAAGGTAATGATCGATAATGAGATATGCTGATGATTTTGTTGATTCCCCTTTGTACTTTGAGATCCCCCAAAGAACCTTCTATGTGTCCATAGCTCAGATATAATAGTTCGTCCTTTGCTTTTTACATGTTTAGATACTCGAGCAGCTATGCAATAGACAGTGTGATGTCATTTGATTATCTCGCCGATAAGATAAGGGTTCCTGACTCATCTGCCACGTGAGCTATCAACTAAGCCACTTTGGGCGGAGACTCCTGCCCCGTTTCTGGGACACGATATGACTACTACTTCGGTCAAAGGTTCTAGGCGACAGCTTACTTTATATTCGAGTATCGCTCGTATCGATTGTCAAAACACCTAGTTGATTAGAGTCTGGATGAACGACTTCGCTGAGGGATTTGCGTGTTGTACATACTACAGGATCAATGCAGCGAATGCATAATTACTAAAGCCTAATCTCCTTATCGCTTTCTTTGATATCCACACATGATCGAAATTACATTGTGCTGTCATCATGGTCTACCGTGGGAAACCTAGCACGGGCTGTCAAAATTGTCGATCTAGACATATTAAAGTATTGTGTGTTCATATCTGGGATTGAAATCATGCTAATTGCTGCAGTGCGACGAAACTCGACCTCACTGTAGGGCCTGTGTCCGGACCGGCCGGACCTGTCCGGGATATCCGCACCCGCTCGATGTTATGCTAAGAGATCGAACGGCCTTCCAGCGCAAGAAGAGTAATGTTTCAAAGGCCAAGGCAGTTAATACCACAAAATGCCAAAAGGATTCGAAGGAACCATCTTCTCCATTGACGGTGTCGGAGACGACTCCGTCGCCTTCCGCTATATCATTCCTAAGCTCCCCACTAGAGGTGGAAAGGTCGCCCCTCTCCGTCAACGCCGTGAGAGCTCTAAGCCCTAGTGTTCCCAGTAGTTTGTACCTGCCTTTGGAGAGTACAGTTACCTCTTTGTTCTTCAATTCCTATCTTCATCAGCCGAGAGACCCTCTCATTGGGCTCGGGTTTATGGAGCTTTTGCCTGAGCGATACTTCAATGCTCGGCCTGGAACTCCTTTGTATCTGGGTACACTGGCTGTGTCATTGTTCTCTGTCTCTGCCTGGACAGGGAATCGCTCATTTCTCCATTTGGCGGAGCAGTTCTTCGTGAGAGCTTTATCGAATACAAGGGTAGCCTTGCAGGGTAACCTTGGTGAAAATATGGTCGAGACTATAATGGCAGTTCTTTTGCTTTCTGTCTATGAAGTGAGTCTGGAGAGATTCAATGCCTATCCGATGGTTAGGATTAATGATGATGTTAGGAGTTTTCTGCTGTCAAAGAGCACAGAATTGCAGCAAAAACTCATCTGCGAGGGGCAATTGCTTTGGTCAACAGCGGCTACATGCCACAAAGTGAGGACGCCAATTCGCAAATAGTAACAAACTCAATACAATGTCAAATTGTCTGTTATGAACTCTGGAACTCACGGGTCCTGTTGCTAATAGCTTGTTCTAGATCAAAGCCTCGACGATACCGGCTTATCCGACCATCGAAATGCCAGACGTGTGGCCTATGGCAGCGCCAATACCCCAGTCTGCACCATCACAGCTGACAGCGGCCGCAACTGAGTTAGTGGATCTTAAACAGGTGTGGGATAAGTTCGCATCACAACCGGAACTGTACGGCGCAGATGAAATCAGTCGCATCTATTCCATGGCTATGATTCTCGACAGTAAACTTTGTGCCTGGGCATGGGCTCTTCCCCAACATTGGGCCCCAGTTCCGGCAACCATGGTTCCCCAGTCTGTCCGAGAGGCAGGTATGTTCAACAACAGGTGCGATTGTTATACAGAGATGTGGATAGGGAGCACATGGAATACCTATCGAGAATCTCGGATCGTTGTCCAAAGCATCATTCTCAACTGTCTCCGTCTGCTCCCGAACCTTGGCACTCCGGACAGGGTTGAAGCAGTGATATCTACTATTAGAGAAATGGCCACCGATATTTGCGCTGCAGTCCCCTTTTTCCTCGGCAGCCAGACCATGTCTGTTCATCTGGACCCCTCCAAGGTTGAGTATCCCGAAGCTGAGGAGCGCCGGGTGACTTCGGCCCATCAGCAGACGGCCCCCCTTCTTGGTGGTTGGTTACTTCGGTCCGAACTTGAGTATCTCTGCTCGCCTGACCTGTGTTTGCCTGAGGAGCAGCAGACTTGGGTTAAGAGCCAGATGCAGAGAATCTGGCGAATCTACACATTCGAATCCCGGGTTATATGATACACTGGGATTATTTTCCCACCGGTTTCAGCGTTGGGAACTGGTATATATTGGAGCGCTATGCCCAACACATCATTTGTTGCTTTCTCTTATAGATATGATTACATGAGGTGACCGCCGGGCGCCCTGACCTACCGCACTTGGGGCATGCTATGGTTTTGTAATATAGCCACCAGATCACAATGCACATATCACGATAATGAAACACAACTCTGACTTGTTCACGAGAGGTACTGCACCGAATGACTCACAAAGTTGTTTCCAGACGGTTCCAACAGGAACAATTTGCCTGCCTCAGGCATAAGTCACATGACCCTTACAATATCACGGACTCCGCATCTTAGCTTCAGATCTCCGCTCCATCCGCCTCATTTTCCCCTCGCAGAGCTCACTTGAACCCAAGCACACCAAGACCGCAATTCCTACCAATCGGTATTCTACTGTCACCAACACAAAGAAACTCCTTCTGATTACCATTCACTCCAACAACATGTTCTCCTTTTTCCGTCGGGGTCCTCCCCAAACCCCCGAAACCCCATCAGACCAAGCAACCTCACAACCAACAACAACACAAACTAGCCAATCTCAACCACAATCCCAAAGCCAAAGACCTGAATCCGAGCCCGAACTGAAGTTTATCAACCCCCAAACCAAATACAAACTTCTCCTCGGCGGCCTCTCATTCTTCGCCTTCTCGCTCTGGACCACCCGCCGCGCCTTAAACAGACGCTATCTCGCTTCCGTCCCACCTTTCTATACCTCCTCCCTCTACCACAAGCCCGACGTCAGCGGTGGTGCGGAAGCCTTTGAGGCGCTGAATCTGGCAACGCTGAATGTGCTTTCGCTGGGCATGGCAGGCACCGGGGGTATCCTGTGTGCGCTGGATATCAATGGGGTTGATGATATGAGGAGGTTTGTGAGGAGGGGATTTTATGGTGACGGTGGAGATGTGACGAAGGTAGATAAGGAGCTGGAAGATGAGGTTGAAGCCTGGGTGGGAAGTGTGCTGGGAGAGAAGTTTGGGGTGGAGTTGAAGAAGGAGAAAGAGAGGGAGAGGAGCGAGAACAAGGCTTGAAACAGGAGTCTGTTGAGGATCTGTCGGACTACTTTTATGAAGAATTTGGTTTGGGATGGGATGCCGTAGGATGAATTTAGGGCTTGGTTGGCGTTGATGTGTATATGTCGATTGTCGTGCATATATGGAACTGAAATACCCCACTTTTGTATTATATGTTTATGTAAAGAAATTCAACAATGATTGACTGAGGTCAAGATCTGATGGTACTCTACATTTCCGCTATTAGGGTCTCGTCTCCGGGAGCCCTATATGAATGCTGACCCGACGAACTATCCAGTAGTCTGTTTGGCTACTGGCACTGCAGCCCAGCTTTAACCCTATCGATCATGACCATAGCTCCATTGGTGGGATAAGCTAGAAGCAGCTCAACGAAATGGTTGATAAAGTAGCATTATCCAAGTGGCTTTAGGCTTCGCAGGCGTACAAAGCTGCCAATTGGCAGGTGAAAGCCAAGAGACGATCACTAATCCATCACGCGCCGATCACAAGGAAATCCATAAAACCATCCACCGTCTTCAATCGCTTCCACCTTTCACCCCCGTGCAATATCCTTCGCCATGGCCGACATCGACATCACCGAGACCCAGTTTCAGCTCCCCGACGGATTGTCCGTCTACCAGAAGACATGGGCAGTGAGTTCTGAGTCTCCGCTGACGTATTCTTGGCACAATATTGACCCCGATATATAGCCGAGTAGCGCTGCCCCCGTAGCGCGCCTGGTCCATTTCCATGGTTTTAGCGACCATATCAACAACACGTATGATCTGTTTCCATCTCTCGCCCGCCGTGGGATCTTCTGTACAGGAATCGATCAGCGTGGTTGGGGCCGGTCGGCCAAAACCAAGGCCGATCGCGGGAATACAGGCCCGACCGCTACCGTTCTGGCCGATCATGCAGCATTCATCGAGGCCCAACTCGAAGCGACGCCGTCTGTTCCCGTGTTCGTAATGGGTCACTCAATGGGTGGTGGGTTAGTCGCAACGTTAGCCTCTACGCCCAAGTATCAGGATCTTGTTTCTCGTCTGGGAGGGATCATGCTCGCGGCACCGTTTATCGGCCTCGACGCGGAGCAGAAACCGAGCGTCATCACTGTTACTCTCGGTCGGTTGGCCGGTAAACTATTGCCTCATTTCCAGCTTACCCAGCCGATGAAGGCCGAAACGATCGTGCGGGACCCGGCTGTGCAGCAATCCCTGAGGGATGATCCGCTCAACCCTTGTGTTGGCACGCTGGAGATGTTCGCAAACATGCTTGACCGTGCTGCCGATTTGACTTCCGGCAAGTTGAAGCTAAATGATGGGGTTCGGTCGGTCTACGTGGCCCATGGCACGGGGGACCAGGTCACCAGCCACGATGCGAGTAAGCACTGGTTTGATGCACAGACCGGCAAGGTCGCAGACCGGAAGTTCAAGTCTTATGAAGGCTGGAGCCATATGCTTCATGCGGACCTGCCGGAGAATAGGCAAGAGTTTGCCGATGATATTGCGGGATGGATTCTCGCACGGGTGTAGATGTTTGGATGTGCAAGCGGCGTCTTCGGTTTTTTAGCTCCCAGGAATTTGTTCAATGGATTTTATGCATGTACTTGTCTTTCAAACAATCGATCAGAAGGTTTTCCTTTCCAGTGAGTGTCCTCTGGTTCGAGTAGAGTCCTTGCTGGTGTGGTGTAATTCCGAAGCATCCATAGGGTTGGGATATATATAACAATGCAAGCCGCTGGCATGGTAGAGTGGGTTGGTTGGTTCACGGCTGAAGCTGCAAAGAAGACACTATGTACCAGTTGCAAGGGTCAAAGTTGAGCATATGTATCTGAAAGTATGTAGCACTTCTAGTTTCTACTGTAGTAGGTGGTAGAGTATATCAAGAAGCGTGTTCATTGGATGATGAGAGTGAAAAATATACTTTGGATTATATAGCCAAATAAAATGTTAATATTCAACAACATCCGATGTGGTGTAATGGCTAACATCGCTGTCTCTCACACAGCAGCTCGGGGTTCGATTCCCCGCATCGGAAGCATTTCTTTTTGTCTTTCATTTTTCTGCTCCCGTATTCCGTCGATCGCCTTGCCGAGTGCTTGCTATCCGTTGCCCTGCCGGAAAGAAAAGGCTGCTGTTTGTTTTCTTCACCTTCCACCTGGTTGACCAGTTGGCTGACCTTAACGGAGTACATCGGCAACTACTTCTACGAATACAACACTACTACAACTAGCTGTACGCGAACGACTAGTATATCAGAAGTGTGATTATGATTGTTAATTATATAGGCAATGTCAGTATCCCAACCCGGTTAAGTACTCGCCTAGGGCTTGCACCGTATCGGCAGCCGTCTTATGTACCACTCCGTCGGGACTATGCGCCACGACAACAGCCTGCTTCGTTTTGTAGGCATACACGCCCTCCGTTCCCTAGACGGATGCCTTTCAATAAATTATATCCGTCATATCGATTGCGGGAGCTTACATTTTTGCCATAAATCGTGTTTGCGTTTGCTGTGACCACCTGATACTTCTGTCCATCGATAAAAACGCCATTCGAATGAAGAGAACTCGCATCACTGAAACCTGCGATAAAGCTCCCAAACTCATCCGTTGTAAGCTATAGAACCGTTTTCACCCATATTAGTCCTTGAAGCCATCGCTTGCCAGGAAGTCCCTTACGCTGAAACCGGGGCTCGATGCCCACGTACTGTCACCTGTGCCTGAAATTATAGCGGCTTTGTCGACGTGACCAGTCCCTACAAGGGAAGTGTCGACATAATCTGAAAAAGATAAGAAATTAGGAATCGTGTCATATAGTCATAAGGATATAGTAGTCCAATACTTTGCCAGCTCATCTTCGGTGTGTTACTGATGTAGGATGCTAGGATAAAGGGACAGTAAGATTTGTTAGGGTTCGGTTGGTAGATCGAGGGAGTTCCTGCTCTTCTTTATAGCCACCTTCTTCCGCCCCTCTTCTCGGTGGATCGTAGAGGGAACCAATCGATCTCTATTAGCTTCCCGCTTGGATCTTTGGATCTTCAATCGAGTTCAGCTCGGCTGTTGGCGGGGCCAATTGAATGGTAATTACCCCCACTGTTGGCTCAGCTGAAAGCTAAACTGGCTATCTTCAGCAAGACGGGGTGAAGATCCTGACCCACTATAAATGGGCTTGATCCCCCTACGGTACGTGTAAGGTTCTTAAGACTCTAACCTGTGTCTGCTTCAATAACAAATTTCAAAATCGGGAACTTTGCGTTCTCCTACCTTTATAAACATGGCGGGTATGCATTCGGAGATACCATTTATTATGTTCTTGGTCTACAGATTCTACACCATAACACTATACTAATGTAGTGATTAAATTGCAGATTCTCAAGATGGTGCTGCTATTGTCATCGATAATGGGTACTTGACCCTACTTCCTCTCTCTCGCTGTCTCTAAATCGGCATTCGATATTCTACTTTACTTTTACAACATCGAACTAAACCCGCAATCTGATCTGATCTGTAGGACAATGTATACCAAGGTCGGCTTTGCTGGTGATAAGAGCCCGCGCGTGGTTTCCCGTGAGTTCGTTTGAAGCCTTTGCCTATTCCAATGCTAAGTTTACTCGTTAGCGACAATTGTGGGCTATGATGGAGGGTAAAGCCCGCCGTTTCCCCCGTCTGTGATTATTGAATGCGATGGACTAAGATATATGCCATGCTTCAGATTCGAGAACAACGCATACGTTGGCGATAATGCCAGCCCGATCCAGCGTGGATTGATCACCAACTGGGATGATATGGAGAAGATCTGGAACCACGCCTTTGCCACTGACCTTCAGGTTGCTCCGGAAGAGCGCCCGGTTCTCCTGACTGAGCGCTCGCTGAACCCCAAGGAGAACCGAGAGAAAACTACGCAGATCATGTTTGAAACATTTAAAGTCCCAGCCTTTTATCTCGGGATCGACACTGTCTTCGCTTTGTACGCGTCCGGCCGTACCACTGGCGTGTCCGTTGATTGTGGCCATGGCTCTACTGATTGTGTCCCCGTTTATGAGGGATCGGCATTGTACCATTCAATTCTCCGGGTGGATGTAGGCGGAGACGACATAACCAGATACCTGATGGACCGATTGGGCGGAAATGATTCCAGTCCTGATATATTCGCGGACATGAAAGAGAAGCACTGCTTTGTTGCACCTAATTTCGATCAGGAGTCTCAGCGTACTGCTCAGCAGAGCTATGAGCTGCCTGATGGGCAAACGATAGAAATGGGGGCGGAGACATTCCGGGCCCCTGAAGTCCTCTTTCAGCCGTTTATGCTTGGTCTTGACATCCATGGCATTCATCAGCATGCGTATGACTCTATCTTCAAATGCGATCTTGACATTCGGAGGGACCTATATGGAAATGTTGTTCTGGTACGTATACCCCTTGGCTTTTTCTTCCTTCTAGGAAAAGAAAAGAAAAGACCATCTGCTATAAACGAGTTCTTGGGTGTACTGACAGGTCTTTCCCTCTTTTCTAGTCTGGAGGCACTTCAATGTTGCCTGGTATGGCAGACCGACTACACCACGAACTGGTCTCTCTCAGCCCGCAATCTATGAAAGTGAACGTTGTAGCTGCCCCGGAGCGAGAGTACTTAGCGTGGATTGGAGGTTCGATGCTGGCATCACTGTCGACATTCCAAGATCGTTGGGTAACCAAGGAGGTGTATGATGAATCAGGTCCTGGGATTGTCCATCGGCAGTGCTTTTGAAAAACCAACGCCGCTGAAGGAATGGAATCTGTATTCGAAGAGTGCAAGCACAGATGATAGAATGGATGGGTGATACGAAGTGAGCTACATACCATAGATGCAAAACATACCAACAGGCAGAATCTTCGCTTTCTGAAAATCCCGTACAATCAGTAGTACCCCGTATAAATACCCTCATGGCTGGCTTTCAGACTCAAAGGTCACACTCAGCTCGGCTATAAGCGTAGTCCAGCTGAACTGCAGTCCCCGCTGAAAATGAGCGCTACCAAGTGGATCAAAACAATGCAATCCGCGGCCAATAATATAACTGTAGTGGCCAAATACAACATGTTGTGCGTTGATCTACTGATGCACGGATGATTCCTGAGCTGGCTGAGCTGAAGGTGATCTGCAGCTGAGGTATAAAATGCCCTCCATAGATAACCCCCCCCCCCGGCCTCCTGGTCTATCATTTGGATTCACAACTTGGATAATCCTTCTACTCACTTCGCGTGTACTCGAGTCTACATCAGATTAACAGTCCCTGTTCACCATGTCTACCAAACTTTTTGTCGGGTGAGCCCTGTACATATAATGATATAGTCGATCAGTGGCCTCCAACTAACACAACTCCGCATAACAGAAACCTTGCTTGGAACACAACTGACGAAGTCTTGAGGTCTGTGTTCGAGCAATACGGTACTGTTGAAGAATGTGTATGCTGGGCTTATTTATTTTATCCATCCGATGCCCGTTACTAATGCCATGTAGATGGTGGTTAAAGACCGAGAAACACAACGAAGCAGGGGGTTTGCCTTCGTTACATATTCCAGCGCAGAAGAAGCACAGACAGCAATGAATGGGCTTAATGAAGAGGAGTAAGTTTTCCTACCAGTGAATAATGTCTTGCAGTCCTTGAAATCGAAGCTAAGCCCTTTTGTGGTGTTCTAGGGTTGATGGTAGACGCATCAGGGTCGACAGTGCATCTGCCACTGGCCGCCACTAAGGCAGTGGTTACGGTGGCTGAAGAGGGTCAACAGAGTAGAATTTTCATGATATAGGAGTGAAAGAGCACATGTCCATGAATTCGTATTGATTCACTTGACTTTCCTGGTGCTGTCAGATCTCAGGTCTGTGAGCGGCTTCTGTGACTGGCAAGATACAGTCACGGTCCCTCAAACTTCTTAAGAAAAGGTCTCTATACTTCCCGGAGTCTTAGCATAGGCATCCCATTTATGAACTGATAGACAGAATGCACATAGGTACCAGTTGGTATCATTCCTAGAATAATACATTTTCGGTGGTAACCCCACCATAGCTCAGCAAAATTGAGGCCTACAGCCTCGTTGTAATCCCGCAAGCCCAAAGTCTGACCGGTCTTGTTACAGGTTTTGCTCGTAAGCATTCCACAAAATATGATACTGTAGATATGATGTTAGACTGTGGAGTTCGTTCACCGCTACTGATCAACCAGATTCGGCTCATTGAGGGTCTTTCAGTGGGGCAGTAGATCGGAGATGTTCAGCTCGGTGGGGCTGTATCTCTGTCTCTTCTATAGTTCGTTAACTATCAGGTGTGGAGAACAGGGCTTCCGTCCACTCAGCCGTACTGAAGCCACCTGCTGAATGCGGCCGACTGGAAAATGAGCCCTTTGGAAGTTGCTGCTTTATAGGTGAGCTAGACAACCTAGTAGGATTTTTGTGAAGTAAAGTATAGACGCTCAATCTAGTTGTGTACTACTTTTTATTTCCCTCTAAGATACTTGTTCTCAAGAAACAGCTTTATGATCCTAGGACCTACACATAAATCAACTATATTATATAATAGACTCAGGACGTTCTGAGGAAAAGTAAAGATAGAGAAGTACCTCTTGGGATAGTCTGGAGAGGTGTTCCGTTCCCGGCCCTGTTCCCAGGAGGCGAGCTTCAGCTGACGACAATGATAATGGATATATGAATGTAGAAACGTCATTGCATATACTAATTGTTGGCGAGACTGGATGCAGAGTACGAATGTCACTCCTTGATATCCTGGACAACTATCAGAGTAGATGTGCTAGTAGGGTTGGTAGGATGTTTGGTTGAGTAGCCCTATCCCAATTCAATCTGATAGGCTTGTTGCAGACGTTCTTGGTGCTGTCATATATCCACGTCATTTTCTGTTATGTACATGAACTTCGAGCCACGGCTCAATATCTTCATCTTTGGCCTCCTCTAGTAGTCTCCAGATACGGCGACGATTCCGCAGGCGGAAGGGAGCATCCTCTAACGGGTGCCCCGGTTCAAAGATATCCACTTGTGCGAGGGTACGAACAAGACGCTCCCAATCCCAAACGTCTGCTTCATATGTCGGGATATCTGCTGTATCGGATGTCACAGGGCAGCTCTGTAGGGCGGAGATATCCAAATCCCAAAGCCAGGGTAAAAGCTGCCGATTGAAAAGTAAGTCACGCCACCGCCTTGATGGTAAAAGCCGGGTGCATGTCTGCTCGGGATTGATAAAAGGGTGTAAATTTGCATAAATTATATCTTGGAGCTCGGGAGGCAGTGTCCCCAGTTTAAGAGATAATTCAGAATCAGACTGTTCTTGGAAGGACGGTGGAAGAGGTTGCAGGTATGAAAGAATCTCCTGAGTAAGTCCTGGTATAGGAGAGGGTGCCATTTCGTATTCCTCGTAGCAGATTGTTAGTGATAGGATAAATGTGCTATAGGCTATATAGAACTTACATAGGCCTTCAGCTCTCCCCAAGCCCACGCGACATTACGAAAGAGATTAGTATCCCGAAAGTAATAGTACTGTGGGTGGACTACACGACGGGGGTTAAACGAGCCGTTGCGTCCGAGAGGATAATAGGTATGTACCCTCGTTAATCGCTGTTCAAATACTTCATAGAACTGGCTGAGAGTTGTAGGACACATTTGGTTAACGGATACTCCGGCTTTCAGAAGAGTCTGGCGATAGTCTACCAGATATCGCATCATATCAAGACATTCCGCATGTACCGTAACATATGGGTACTCTGAATATAGATGGTGGACTAATTTCGACGAGTGCTTTGCATAACGCACGGGTTCCAATCTTCGTAACTGCTCCCCATAGTGCACACCGTCGATCTCAATCTCTAAGAAATTAGAACTCTCTTCGGTTGATTATATTGAAAGAACCACCCACCATCTAGCCCGAGTACTTCTAGCGGTAGATCATGATTTGGCAGGCTCGCAATATCCCAATCTTTCTCATAGTGATAATTCTCGGCCCGGATGGCCTGCGGCACAAACCACTTGTACCTCTCAAGGTTCTTGTCTCGCACTTCTGCTTCTACCACCTTGATCTTTATAAGCAGGATCTTGCTTTTAGGGGGACGGAACCCACAAAGTTTGGGGCACCACAGATCACACAACATATATCTTCCGCGTCATAGCCCTTATCGAATCGCTCGAATATGAAGAGATCGCCCTCGGATGGACGCTCGCTGGGGTGGAAATCCATGGCAGGTGAGATGGAAATTTGCTCGGATTTCGATCCAGGCAGATGGAGTCATGGACTCAAGAAGTAGGAACGGATAGTCAATGACTCAGACAAGGTTGCATCGTTTAGCGCCTTGAGTACACCAACATATTCTATTAATTGGTTAGTCCCACCGAGGTTTGTTAAATCATCGGGTTAGGTTTGGAGAGGCAGTCAGGGCTGGTATTATGTGACTTCGGAACCTTCCGTCTCTATCTCTTCTATATAGTCCATTACTTAGGGCAAATTAG